CCGTTATAAATGAAAATAGTCTCCTGTGCATGAGTTTCTCAAAGATTTTGGATAGCAATGGTAAGTTTGATATTGGGCCCACAGTTGTTTAAATCTGTAGGGTTACCACCTTTATGTATTGGTGTAACCCTTGCTGTCTTGAGTAGTTTCGGGGAAAGGTGCTTGTTTCTAGTGACTTGTTAAAAAGTAATGAGATAGCATGCGAGAGGACATGGGCCGCTCTCTTGTACAATAATGGTGGGACATAGACAGATTCCCTGAGTTATTTTTTAAATGACTTAATAATCTCGGTGACTTCCGTGGGCTCAGATGGGGCAAGATAGAAGGAATTGGGAAATTCCCATCTAGGTAGTCCCCGGCATGGGTATTGGTACGGGGATTTTTTGGCGGGATTAGAACCTATGTTTGAGAAGAAGTCATTTATCTTTTTAGCTGTGTCAGGGGATGCGTGGTGTTTCATTAGGTTTAGTTAGGACAATTTTTTTGGTTTTTTTTCCCGTTTGTGGTCCCTAGAATGGTGCACACTGACCCCCACAGACCCATTCTCTCACATGTGGGCCTACCACTTTCTTCTGCTTGATTTTAAACGTAAGAATTTGTGGTATATTTTACAGTGGTCCCTCGTTTTTTGAAATTAATCTGTTCCTGGAGCCGTTTCTATAAACAAAATTTACAATTTACGAATCAATTTTCCCATAAGAAATAATGTAAATACAATTAATCCGTTCCTGACACCCAGAAGTATTAAAACAAAAAAATTTTTTACATGAAATATACATGTAGTACATAAACAATACAATGGGAAATGATGAATGAAACATTAACAGCATTAACACTTACCCTTTTTTGGAGATTCTTCTTAGTGTATGGGAGACTGGAGGGGGAGACAGAGTGGATTGTTTATAGTTTGGAAGGGGAATCCCCTTCCCGCAACCACCTCAGGTACCAATTGCTTTTCTGGGGTTTTCTTTTCTTCTCTGTTTCTTAATGCCACTAGGACCACCTTGGAGTCACTGAGTCCTGTCTCGCAAAATAACTGTGGAGAGAGCTCTGTTTCTGGCGTCTCTTTAACACTTCCCTAAAATGGTCCAAGACTTTGTCACTGTACATGTTACCAATATGGCTTGCAACAACCTTGTTAGGGGGATGTTTCTCCATAAAGCTTTCCATCTTACCCCACATAGTAAAATCTCTTTAATTTCTGAAGAAGGCACCTTCTTCCATCTCTCTTCCTCCTCCTCTGCAGCAAGATTCTGAGCTGTGATGTGTTGCTCTTCCTGCTGAAGCTCTTGCAGCTCCTCAGTTGTGGTCTTCCACCAATTCTTCCCCATCCTCCAAACTCACATCCAACCCCATGGAACTCCCCAGTGCCACAATTGATTTTACAACAGACATAGGCTCATTAGGGTCAGTCCCAAACCCTTCAAAATCCCTCTTGTCGACACAATTGGCCACAATTTTCTCCAGGCAGAGTTCAAAGCCCTGGTAGTCACTCCCTCCCCAAGCCATACCTATAAGGGTTATGCAATGGAGGTGCTGAAGTGTTCTCTCCAAAATTCCCTTAGGGTCAAGTGAGTGTCTGTGGTCACAGTCAAGCACCTGTGAAAAAATTGCTTTTGGGGTAGAGTTTTTTTTAAAATTTGCAATGACCTGCTGGTCCACGGGCTGGAGGGGAGGAAGTGGTATTCAGGGGCAAAAACTTTACTGTGATGAACCCAAACTCCTCGAAAATTAGGGCACCAAGTTTGGTGGATGAGCAGGTGCATTGTCCATTACTACAGGCCTTGAGATCCAATTTCTTTCCAGGAGATACTCCTTCACACTAGGGCCAAACACTTCTTGAACCCACCAATGAAATTTCCCTCGTGGACCCATGCTTACTATTAGATTTCCAAAACCACACCCAATTTTCTCTTCTTAACATTGTTTTTCCTGAACGCTCTGGGATTTTCAGAATGGTACACTAGTAATGGCTTCACTTTTAAATCCCCACTAGCATTAGCACAGAACATTAGCGTCAGCCTGTCTTTCATAGGCTTTTTGTCCTGGCATTGCCTTTTCTCTTGTGTAATGAAGGTCCTCTTTGGCATTTTCTTCCAAAAGAGGCCTGTTTTTATCACAACTGAACACTTGTTCAGGTTTCAGTCCTTTAGCCTCTATGTACTCCTGGAATTCATGCACAATTTTTCAGCCGCCTTGTGGTCCGAACTGGCAGCCTCACCATGCCTTACCACACTGTGTATGCCAGTACGGTTCTTAAATCTCTCAAACCAGCCGTGGGTACGGTCCGGGCGAACTACTACTCGCGAGTCAACCTATGAAAAGCGAGTCCATGTTATACGAAAATACCCCTATGATTGGCAAAATTTACGATTGCCAGGAACTACGAAAAGCGGGGGACCACTGTACGTCAAACACGGTGGCTCGTAAGATGTGTGTATAGACCGAAACAGTCAAAGGATTTTATCTATAGCCTTAGCAAGTTTTTTCCGAAGGTTTTGTTATTTCATGTAAAGGTGGTAACAAAATCCTGCTCAATTCTACAATTGGAGCATATGGGGGCATTTCTGGTGCCAGGTTCCAGTGAGTGTTGGAGTGGGCTGTCCTCCTCGATGTAACGAGAAGTCCTTGTGGGAATTATCCCATTCATACAGAAAACAACAAATACTTAGTGTAGCCCAGATGTAATCCAAAAAAAGGTAGCAGAGGCAAACGCTAGAGTTGGTGTCACCCGGGGGAATCTCTGTGTCACCCCGGGCAGCATCTTTGGTGTCACCCCCATGAAATTAAAGGGCGGGGGGATGGGGGTGGCAAACTTCAGTTTTTGTCCCCTACTGTATGACCAGTCAGTGACTAATGTTTAGCAATGAGAACGTTTAAGGGGGCCCTAAACCAAAAAGAAGATAACTTCTCAACTTTATTAATAAAAAATAATTGCAGTAATTATTGAGGAAACAAACTCAAATAACCACTCTGAGTACAGGTAACAGATCCTAAATTTATTCATCATCAACAATGCAAAAAAAAAAAAACTTGAAAAATAAAGAAAAACATTGCAATATCAGAGAGACAAATAGTTCCGATTTGACTCTGAGTACAGGTAACATCTCAGTGAATCTGATCTTTAGAACATTTCCTTGCCTTCAATTATGCAAATCATCTATCACATCATCAAAATCAATGATTTTTCCCTATTAGGCCCTTTTTTTGTACTTTGTTTTTATATAATAGGCTATATAGAAATGAAGGATTCTTCCTTATGTTGCTACAGCACTGTTTTTGGTCATTGTGTCACCTTCTTTAGAGGCTCTATGGTGTCACCCCCTAAATGGTGTCACCCGGGGTGTCCCCCCCTTACGGCGCCTCTGCAAGGTAGCAACAACTTTCAGGTTACCACAAGCTGTCTGTGGAAAATACTGTATATTTTCCGGAAATACGGTAATTTATAGGTAAATAAATGGTCTATATTGTATATAATAAAAATTATGTTATCGAAAATGGGAAGCCTGCGCCTGCGCAGAAGAGACTCGCCATTGCTGTTTGAACTGGTCAACAGAAAGTTAGTGAAATCGGAAGAATTTTCGTGCTCTAGAGGTTAAAATTGGGTTGACACCTCTCAAATAGGAGCCGAAATTGTTGGATGTGCATTCCCGCATAATTTGAGTATCAGGTGACAGGACAGGACAACTCCAGGAACCTCAGATAAGCTGTCTAATTTATGTTTAAATTCTGGCCAGTAAATTTTTCATAAATGTAGGCAAAAGGGGGGGTCCTGTACATGACACATTAATCTCCAGTCGAATTGATGAGTGATATTAAGATATTCTCTTTCTGTTATGTAAATATGTTTATATATATAATCATTTTTTAATTTAATATACAGTCCACAAAATTTATATATTTACCAGCATTCCTGGTGATACATATTTCATTTGTAAATAATAGGTCCAGAGCAACTTGTGGATATGACAGTTGTAGGTATCGAAGGGGGACATTTTTTGCGACCTAGGTGTCCCAAATTCCTACTTGTCTAACTGATAAATAATAATTATCTTTGTTCATTTACTATTATGTACATAATGATACATTCAGATAAATGCAATTTTCCACACTGTCATAGTTTAGGCAGTTCAAAATCTGCTTTATGTTGTCATACGTTTCCCCAATGTGGACTGCATAACTAACTAGAATTGATAACAACAAGTTGCCAACATGTAATAAACAGCTTTTAGATTAACCCTTTCTGGGTCCAGACCGCCTATCTGAATTTTGTTCTTAGGGTACAAAAATTTTCCCCTCCAAAAAATACATTATTTTTTTATGAAATGGTAGAGAATCTTTTTCCAAAGGTAATGACACCAAAAGTATAAAATATAAATATGTTAAGCAACCATAGTGACATCATAAATCCCTGTCTAAGACTTACATAAAGCAAGCTACCATTTTCAAACTGATAAAATTTGAAATTAGATTATTATCCCTCAGGGTCATACTCTCTCATAATTTTTACACTGCAATTCCTAATGCTTCTTGCACTAACACATACATAAAATAATATCAAAGGGACAATCACATACAATTCAATATAAAAATTTTACATAACTAATAGTGTATAACTAAGTCCTTATGAGTACACAGACTGGTGATGTAGCTAGCCAGATCAACAGTTGATTACTCCAGAACACAGGTACACTTGCAGAGTCTTTGGAAAGGTACATAGATCACAGTCTGTCTCATCTCCAATACTATGGCTAGAACGTTTCTCAAGCAATACATAATTTGAAGATGAAATTTAAACTATGTTGTGATCTATCCTGGATCATTATCAAGCTGCTACTTGATAATAATTCAGGGTAGATCATTTTATCTCTAACTTGTGGGCTAGTTGTCAAACACTGTAGTCTTGATACTGTATCTGTTATTCTTTCCCTTCATGTATAGCAAAAAGTCTTTCAGATTAGAATATGGTTTAATTATATTATTCTATAATGTGTTCATACCTGAGACATTTTTCATTAAGCTCTTCTAGTTGAGACTGCAGGTCACTTTCTCTAGGCTCCTCTCGCTCTTGAACTAGTTGATTGACTGTTGCACTAAGCTGGTTAAGTTGCTCATTTATTGACTGATTCTGAAGCCTTGATGTGTCACCTGTTGAAGAAAACATAAATTGTCCAGTAAATATTGCACCCCACAATGGGAAAACAATACAAATAAAATAGTCAATATCTAGATATGATAATCAAAACCACTGAGGGAGGTATCCCCACTCTCAATACAACTGATGGAAAAATCCAGGTATTACAGCATAAAAAACCATGGTACAGGCAAGGATTGAACTTGCAGTGAGTTCAATCCCCACCCATACTGTGGTTTGTTTGCAATTATGTCATTATGATTTCTTGAGTTACTACAGCATATAATGGTTATTGGCTTGAGTTTCTATCAATGTTCTTCCAGTATACCCATACCTATACCCACACCTATTCCAGTGTGCAATCAAGAGCAAAAACAACTAGGAGGAAAGAGCAGTGAAGGCAAAAAGCTAAGAGTGAGGTTAGGATGAAAGTGGGGCAAGGACAAATATTCTCAAGTGCCAGCTCAACCAGGCTGTGATGGATATGTCCAGGCAAGCACTAGATGAGCCTGGCCCATGGCCGGGCACCGAGAGTAGTGAGACTCTCAAAACTCATCAAAGGTATATCATCATCAAAGGTATACCTAATTTCTACAGATCAAACATAATGCAGAATTTAAAGGATGTGGAAATGTAGTTTAGAGAGTTATTAACCCTTTCAGGGTCTGTGCCGTAGTTCTATGCCATGAGCTCAGCTCACTCAGATAAGCTGTGAGTGGTAAATTTGGGCCTAGATATGAGAGAATGCATCTATGTGTTAAGTGTGCACCACACAAAATAAATCCTGCAGCAGGAAGTGCATGAGAAAAAACCGAGGCCGTATTTTTGGATTGAAACCGATTTTGCTGTGTTTTTTTTTGTATGCTTTAACAGTTATATTCGTGGTTTCTTGGTCTCATTTGATAGAATGGATGATATACTACTACAGAAATAGATAGGGTTTTGATTGGTTTGATTACTGAAAATGGCTTGAAATGTTCGATTTTTGCCGATATTCAAGAGTAAACAAATTATGCCATACAACCAATACACATCAGCAGGTGGGTCTAATGTGCATTCATGAATGTGCTGATATTATTTATATAATTATTACAATATTGCATAACAGTAAATCTTCTATTTTTTGGTGTGAATAAAAAATTTATTATGTGAATAAAAAATCAAAATGGAATTCATTTGTAAAGTCTGGAAACATAACTAATAAACAGAGATTATGTTATTTTAGTGCCAAGAATGCCTGCATTGTTTATTCTGGCCAAATTACCATTTTCCAATCACTTTACTGGGTAGTTGAAACAGTTGAGTGGATGATTTCTTGTGCTCAGTCAATAAAATAGAAGTAATACTAGCAAAATAGCTAAGAATTTGGTCAATTGGAATAATGTAATTGGCCTAAAATGAGAGTCAAAGTAGGCAAAATCACTGATGCATAAATATCAATGACACAGCAAAATTCGCAAGAGCGTAATTTTGGCAATTTTCCATCAGATTTCGTACTTTTTGATTTATTACCTTCAGAAAAAGATTCTCTACCATTTCAAAAGAAAAAATAATAAAAAAAATTGTTTAATTCTTGGACCCTGTGGACAAGTTTCAGATCAGGGGTCTGGACCCTGAAAGGGTTAATACATGGTTTTGCCTGAGTTTATGTATCATAAAAGCTTTGAAAAAAGTGGTTCAGGAATGAGCTCAGGCATGAGCTTATGAATGAACCAGTTGCTGACTTTGGCTCAATACTGTATATGCTGGAGTGACCCTCTTATTTATTTTTATTTATTTATTTATTTTATGTCTTTGCAAATAGTAGTACACTGAGATTTTATATTTACAATAGTGGGTTGCAATGCAAAGAGAGCCTCTATTATGCCTAGGCATTATGGGCCAACATTATTGGCTTACAGACTACTTAACACTAAGGATTATATCATAGTTGTACAGTAGGGTAGTAATTATTTCATAGATGAACAGTAGATTATTAATTATAAGTGAATTAAATTTGTATAAGACAAAGGATATATTCATATAGTCTAAAATTCTTTTTTGTGAAAACAAGGGTTCAATTATATTCCTGTCAACAATAGATAAAAGGTTCAAAGTGATTGTTGAAGTTAAGATGTGGGAGTACATAGGCGAGTATGTGTGTGCTGAGTATTTAGTGTTTAGTCTAGGGTGATTAAGTGAATTTTGAGAAGAGTCTTAAACTGATTTTCAGACTGGGTCACTTTAATATCTTCTGGTAATGAATTTCATATTTTAGGGCCCTTTATGTGCATAGAGTTTTTACACGGTATGATATGGACACGAGGTATATCAAAAAGAGATCTGTGTCTTGTGTTGTGGTCATGTGTCCTGTTTAACCCTTTCAGGGTCTGTCCCGTAGATCTACGGCTTTATGGTGAGTGTCCAAACCGTAGATCTACGCCATGAGCTCAGCTCACTCTGATAAACTGTGAGTGGTACATTTGGGCCTAGATATGAGAGAATACATCTATGTGGTATGTGTGCACCACATAAAACAGATCCTGCAGCACACTGTGTATAATGAGAGAAAAAAAATGAAATAATGATTTTTCGATTAAAACAGCAACTTTGCAGTGTTTTTTCGTATGTTTTTTATAGTTGTATTTGCGATTTCTTGGTCTCATTTGATAGAATGGAAGACATATTACAGAAATAGAGATGATTTTGATTGGTTTTAGCACTGGAAATGGCTTGAAACTGAGCTCAAAGTAGCGGAAATGTTAAATTTTTGCCGATATTCAAGAGTAAACAAACGACCTCACACATCTAATACACGTCAGCTGGTGGGTCTAATATACATTCACAAATATGGTGATGATATTTATACAATTATTACAGTATTGAATAACAGTAAATCTTCTATTTTTTGGTGTGAATAAAAATTCATTATGTGAATAAAAAATCAAAATGGAATTTATTTGTAAAGCCTCAAAACATAAGTAATGAACAGAGGAAATGTTAGTTTAGTGCCAGGAATGCCTACATTGTTTATTCTGGACCCTATTTTGAAATTGGAATATTTTGAACTTTGTGTTAAATTGGCCAAATTAACAATTTCCGATCACTTTATTTTGTAGTTGAAACAGTTGACTTGGCGATTTCTTATGCTCAATCGATAGAATAGAAGTAATACTAGTGAAATAGCTAAGAATTTGTTTGATTGGAATAAGGTAATTGGCCTAAAATGGGAGTCAAAGTCGGCAAAATCGCTGATTCGTAAATATCGCTGACACATCAAAATTCGCGAGAGCATAATTTCGTCAATTTTCCACCAAATTTCGTACTTTTTGTTTTATTACCTTCACAAAAAGATTCTCTACAATTTCATAAGAAAAAATAACAAATTTTTTTTTTGAAAATTCTTGGACACTGGTGCGTGACTCCAGATTTGGGCCTTGGACCCTGAAAGGGTTAAGATGGTGAGGAGAAGTTTGAGTGGAGGGTTTATATTTGCATGTATTGTTCTGTGTATGTAGTAGGCACAAGAATAAGTATGGATGTTCTTAATGGTGAGCAGATTCAGACTTTTGAAAATTGGTGGAGTACGCTGGCAGGAGTGGGAATTCATTATCTTCTTACTGCTGCCTTTTGCTGGACTATGAGGGGTTTTAGGTGATTGGATGTTGTTGATCCCCATGCACAAATTCCATATGTAAGATAAGGGTATATGAGTGTATGGTACAGTGCCAGGAGAGCTGATTGTGGAATGTAATACCTTATCTTTGATAGTATGCCTATAGTCTTGGAGATTTTCTTGGTGATTTGTTGTATGTGTGTCCGGAACTTAAGACTACTGTCAAGGTGGATACCTAGGAATTTTCCCTCTGTGAGTCTTGTGACTGATGATCCATTTAGCGTTAATATTAATCGGATCATTTGCAGCTTTGTTTCTTAACCTCAACATACTACTGAATCAGAACTGTGAGTTGATAAAAACTAAACAGATGACTCACAGTAATCTACCATTCAATAGTCACATCGCCATCTCCAAATTCTCCTCTATCAACAAACAAGAGAACAAGGACTTTGGGACAAGATAAGATTCTTCCTTCTCACTATTATAAGTGAGAAAATTATATAATGAGATGTGAGAGTGGCACCAGCTGATAAAATGCAGTAGTGGCACCACCTAATGAAATGTGTGAGTGGTGTCAGCTAATATACCCATCTACTGCTCAGTAGATGGGTATGATTTCAAGAGAGCAAGAATTTAAGGTAGGATAAAATTCTTCCTTGTCATTGTTATAATGAAATAGATGACCTACAGCTGTCTAATGCACAAATGAGCTACATACAGTATGGCCCCGCTTTATGGTGTTTCGCCTTATGGCATTCGGCTAATACAGCGATTTCAAATTATGACCAAAACTTTCTGTATAGTGAGCAGTCTTTCTAATATGGCATGCACCACCCAGTTTGTTTACATTCTCTGTGAGCACATCTCTCTATTATGTCTGGAAACTTTCATAAATTTCAAGTGTTTTAAAGTTATTGCATATTTTATATGTACTCTGATAATTATACTTATGTGTACTTGCACACTGTGCTGGCATGCAGGTACACATTAAAATCACTAAGAGTGTCCCTCTAGTCTTAATGACATAGTAATACTAATAGTATGTAACAATAATCACTCTTGGGCACATTAAATGTCTTGTTTTATGTTAATATAGACATTTTCATTAATCTATGATGCTATGTTTATATGCTATGCACCAACCGTGGCTCTTAAGCTGTACATTATGGCAGTAACGTACAGCCGTTCATTATGGCAGTAATGAATGTACTGTGTATGTATTTTACTTTTTATTGTGTTTTTTAATGCCTAGTTCTATTACTAACTTAATATAAGTTAGTGTAAACTTGTCTGCCATTTATATGCATTTATGGAAAACATGGTATTCTGCTTTCCAGTGATGTCTGCTTTCCTGCAGTAGCCTGGAACCTAACCTGCTGTATAAGCGGGGCCCTACTGTAACCATCTCCAAACACTTCTATATCAACAAACACGAAAAACAGAATATTTAAGGTAGGGTAAAACTTTTACTTGTTACTCTTTTGAGCGTATTTTATATTAATAAGTTAGCATATTAAATTTATAAGTCACTGATGGCATATTAGCCTTCTCTGTTTTCTCTGGAGGGAATAGAATAGTGTCTAACACTGGTGTCATACACCAACGTTAACCCTTTCACTGTCAGTCCTGTAATATTACGGCTTGCAAGCTAGTGTCAGTCCCATAATAGTACGCCAAAATTCTAGTGTCTTGCGGGAGAAAGCTGGTAGGCCTACATGAGAGAATGGGTCTGAGTGGTCAGTGTATGCAGTATAAAAAAAATCCAGCAGCACGCAATGCATAATGAGAAAAAAAAACTGACCGTGTTTTTCGTTTAACCCTTTGACTGTTTCAGCCATATATGTATATACATCTTACGAGCCAGTGTTTCGGATGTATATACTATACCCAAAAATTCAAATCAAGCAAGACAAAGCTGGTAGCCCCACATGTGAAAGGATGGGTCTCTGTGGTCAGTGTGCGATGTACAAAAAAAATTCTGCAGCACACAGTGCATAATGAGAGAAAAAACTCCAACCGTGTTTTTGAATTAAAATGCAGACTTTGAGGTGTATTTCTGTATAGTATTTATGGATGTATTCTCGTTTTCTTGATCTCATTTGATAGAGTGGAAAATATATTACAGAAACAGAGATGATTTTGATTAGTTTCATGATGAAAACGACCTTGAAATTGAGCTCAAAGTAGTAGAAATATTCAATTTTTACCAATGTTCAAGAGTAAACAAATCACAGCATGCATCTAATACACGTCAACTGGTGAGTGTAATATTCTTTCACAAGTGCACTGATATTATTTATACCATTTTTATAATAATGAAGTAGTCTGCATAACAGTAAATCTTCTATTTTTTGTGTGAATAAAAAATCAAAATAAAAAGCAAGAGTAATATAAGAGAGGCCTGGAAACGTGACTAATGAACAGAGAAAATTTTATTTTAGTGCCAGGAATGTCTGCATTGTTTTGTATTTTTGTTTTCTTGGTCTCATTTGATAGAATCGAAGATATATTACAGAAATAGAGATGATTCTGAATGGTTTACGGACTAAAAGTACCTCAAAATTGAGTTGAAAGTAGCGAAAATGTTCAATTTTTGCAGATGTTCAAGAGAAAACAAATCATGTCATGAATCCAATATACATCAACTGATGGATCAAATATTCTTCTGCAAATGTGCTGATATTATTTATACCATTTTTACAATAATGCAGTAGTCTGCATAATGGTAAATCTTCTATGATTTGTGTGAATAAAAATTCAAAATGGAAAGCAAGCGTAATATAAGAGGGGCCTGGAGACAGGACTAATGAAGAGAGAAAATGTTATTTTAATGCTAGGAATGTTTGCATAGTTAATTCTGGACCCTATTTTGAAATTGGCCAAATTACCAATTTCTGATCACTTTATTGAGTAGTTGAAATCAGTAAATGTGCAGTTTCTTGTATTCAGTTGATAGAACAAAAGGAGTTCTAGTGAAACTGTTATGAATCTGATCGACTGGAACAATGGAATTGGCAGAAAACAGGGCTCAAAGTAGCCAAAATCGGCGATGCATAAATATTGCCTAGACCGCTAACTTCGCGAGAGTGTAATTCAGTAAGTTTTCTACCATCAAATTTCATACTTTTGGTGTCATTACCATCAGGAAAAAATTATCATTTCACATAAAAAATAATTTTTTTAAATTCTTTGACACTGAGAGCAAGTTTGTGAGCAGGGGTCTCGACAGTGAAAGGGTTAAAGACTATTCTACAATAATCTACACCAGTGTCAGACACCAGTCTCTTCCTTATTAAGTTTATTTATTAAGTTTTATATAGAATTTGGGTACATAACATACATTTTTAGATCAGCAAGCAATGAAGTTTCCAATGTAAGATGTCAAAAACTTACTCATTTTTGATAAAATAAGAAATTTAAAAAAATTTATTTGCCTTTTGTAGAGGCATCATGAACCTAACCCATTTTTTTTTCAAATATTATTCACATTACATAGCACAAAATTACATGAAATGTCAGTTTCAGGAACATAACTTTCTATGTATGTAAGGATTTACTTTATTTTAAAATTCGAAAACAAAACTTTTCTTTGCAGTTACAAGAAATTTCACTCTAAAATAATTAGCCTGCATGCCAGAAATAAATAAAAATTAATGTCAAGTATGTATATTCTGTGTACTGCATATCTGATGAAAAACTATTACTGTATCATGATGAACCATAAATACAAGTAATTGTACAAACCTGAAATGAAGGCTTTAGGTACTTCCAAATTTGTCAGCTGTAGAGACCCTTTGGTATTGGACAATTCACGGGTCAGTTCATAAATCTGAAAAAGAATTGAAAAAATTATATTTCCTTTTCATCAAAGCCTGCTCCTATGATTTGACACACTAAAACAAAGTATGTAGCAAATACTGTAATAGCAGTCCCAGTAACAGTTCAAATGAACTGTACACATAAACTATCAAAGCTTAATCCAGCAATCATATTGCAGCAATTCTCTGAAATCTTACTTTGTCTTACCCTTTAACTCTTTCAATAATAATTCTACAATACACATTGCCCAGTATGCCTCACAAACTTTTCATCTCCTTTTTCTTATACAAAAGAATTATGCATGATCTCTGCCAATCCTTAGGTACCATCCTTTCATGCATTTTTAAAATCAATGGCCATCTCCCACCAAGGCAGGGTGACCCAAAGAAGGAAACGTATTCACCATCATTCATTCAATCACCAACTTTCCAGAAGTGTGCTAACATTACAATCAAATTACCTTTAGACTGCAACATTCCCACCCCTCCTTCAGGGTGAAGGAACTGTACTTTGCACCTTCAGGACTCAAGTCTGGCTAACCAGTTCTGTGAATGTGGATGTGGATGTGGCCACAAATGGTCAAGGAAATATAAAAAACCTCGATAATAACCCATGTGCAACACCCTTTCAGAATGTCTTATAACCTCTGCCCTAAGTAAAAAGAAACAATTCTGGAATGTGTAATAAGTGTTCGACAGGCTGGCTGGCTGGTTGGTAGGCCAGCTGGCTAGCCAACTGACTGGCTGGCTCTATCTCCATCTGTCTGTCTGTATCTATGTCTCTCTCTATCTTTGTCTATCTGTCTCTTTCTATCTCTGTCTCACAGGTACACATAAATACAATTATACATAGTGTAAATTACCTAGGATAACCCAAAAAATCCAGACAAAGTGCTATACTGTGTTTGTAGATATAATGCGTAAGAATACCTGTTGGTTCAGAGTGGCTCTCTGAGACAGAGAGACAAGCAGAGACAGATAGAGAGACAAGCAGATAGAGACACAAGCAGACAGGGAGACAAGCAGAGACAAGCAGACAGAGATAAGCTGAGACAAAGATAAACAGAGCTAGACATACAGATAGACAGAGAGCTTGACAGACAGACAGACATGTATATGTATAACAATGAAATCAAATAGTGCTGGGCTCATTAAATGTCACCACTTATCTTATACTGCACCCTCACATGGGCTCATCATATGTCACCATTTATCTTATCACTGTACCCTCGCATGGGCTCATCAAATGTCACCACTTATCTTATCACTGCACCCTCCATCAAATATCACTACTTATCACTCCACTCTCGTGCGGGGCTCATCAAATGTCACCACTTATCATTGCATCCTTGCATGAGCTCATCAAATGTTACCATTTATCACTGCACCCTCCCATGGGCTCATCAAATGTCACCACTTATCACTGCACTATCAGTAGTGGACTGACACTTGTCTTACATCATGCTTCAAGGGAACTACTTATTATAATTATTATTATATACTCCCATGTATCCAAAACATTGCTGAGACCTATAAATACTTTGTATATACTGTATTCCTAGACAATAGTAAATGACCAAGGCAGGTGTAAATGTCCACCTGTCAGTGTGTTTTTGACAATTTGAGTACAATTTCAGTACCTAATATGTATTAGTGTCAGAACAAAGATTGGATATGAAATGACTAGAACTACTATAAATTGTAATTATCAGAACATAAAAATTATATAAAATATAAAAATGAGAAAAAAGGTATATCGGCAACACTTCTGCAAGCAGCAGGACTCAATGTTGCCGTCAGGTGAGCATTAACCCTTTGACTGTTTCAGTCGTATATATACATCTTACGAGGTACCGTGTTTGACGTATATATACTACTCATAAATTCTAGCGGCTTCGAATCAAGCAGGAGAAAGCTGGTAGGCCCACATGTGAGAGAATAGGTCTGTGTGGTCAGTGTGCACCATATAAAAAAAACTAGAGCACGCAGTGCATAATGAGAAAAAAAAAACTCCGACCGTTTTTTTAATTAAAATGCCGACTTTGTGGTCTATTTTCATATAGTATTTATGATTGTATTCTCGTTTTCTTGGTCTCATTTGATAGAACAGAAAACATATTATAGAAATAGAGGTGATTTTGATTGGTTTTACTATAAAAAAAAACTTGGAAATAGACCTCAAAGTAGGGGAAATGTTTGATTTTTGCTGATGTTCAAAAGTAAACAAAGGATGTCAATGCCTAATAAATGTCCAACTAGCCATTCTGATATGCAGTCATGAATGGGTTGACATTATTTGTACAATTATTAAATATTGCAGTAGTCTGCACAACAGTAAATCTTCTATTTTTTGTTTGAATAAAAATTCAAAATAGAGAGCAAGAGTAATATCAGAGGGGCCTGGAGACATTACTGATGAACAAAGCAAATGTTATTTTAGTCAGGAATGTCTGCATTGTTCATTCTGTACCTTATTTTCAAACTGTCATATTTTTATATTTTTGTGAAATTGGCCAAATTGCAAATTTCTGACCACGTTATTAGGTAGTTGAAATTGGCAAATGAGCAGTTTCTTGTACTCAATCAATAGGAAAAATGGAGTTCTAGAGAAATAGCTATGAGTTTGGGCAACTGGAACAATAGAATTAGCCAAAAATAGGGCTAAAAGTGGGTGAAATCGCTGATTTGTAAATATTGCCGAGGTCGCTAACTTCACGAGAGCGTAATTCCATTAGTTTTTCATCAAATTTCGTTTTTTTGGTGTCATTACAACCGGGAAAATATTCTCTATCATTTCATAGGAAAAAATAATTTTTTTTTTTTTTAAATTTTGCGACACCAGGAGACACCTCAGGATTGGGGGTTACGACAGTCAAGGGGTTAAGTGCCAACTTCGCAGCCTCATATCTCGGTAAGCACTGACCCTAATTTTTTTTATTTTAATCCTACAACACAGAAAAATGTTCTCTTTATTTCTTAAAAACATTATTTTTTTTTTTCAAAATATTCGGGGCACTGGACAAGAGAACGTATATATACGTTTGGACCATTTAGGGGTTAACACAGTCACACATGTCTGTTGGATATCCAAGCCCCTTGCATACAAAACTTCCTTCACCTCCCCCCTCCTTCCCTCCAACCTTTTCTCCACCTCAGATTTATGTACCTTATTTTACTCCATCCATCCTCTCTAAATGTCCAAACCACCTCAACCCCTCCTCAGTCCTCTGTGTAATACTTTTGGTAACCTCACACCTAATCCCCAAACTATGAATTATCTGTACAATGGACCCCAGCATACGATGGCATCGGCATACATTAAATCCGGCATACGATGCATTTTAACGCAAAAATTTTGCCTCCCCTCACGTTAAAAAACTCGCCTCACACGATTCATCCGAGACGCGTACCACGTGTGGCCTCAGCGCCAGTGTTCACAAACCAGCCAGTTCGGTCGCATCTATGCATACATTCGGCACATTTCACATTATCCCAGTGTTTTTAGTGCTTATAACTACAAAATAAGTCACCATGGACCCCAAGAAAGCTTCTAGTGCCATCCCTGTGGTAAAAAGAGTGAGAATTAGTATGGAATTGAAAAAAGAGATTAAAGAAATGCGTGCAAAGTGGCTTGAGGTGCAAACCTTTATGGATGAAAATCACCCTCACACAGCTATTGCAAGCCGTGCTGGTGACTATTACAATGACAATGTTGTGAACCACTTTAGAGAGGTACAGGCCTCTATGAACAGATATGTTGTGCGACAGAAGTCTCAAGCTGGTCCTAGTGGCATTAAAAGAAGAAGGGAAGTAACCCCGGAAAAGGACTTGATACCTCAAGCCCTAGTGGAAGGGGATTCCCCTTCTAAACAATAAGTTTGACACTCTCCCCTCCTCCCATCCCATCAATCATCACCAGATCTTCATTAAAGGTAAGTGTCATGTATTCTATTGTTAGTAGAGTACTACTTACTGTGCATGTCTTCTTCAGTTTGTGTGCATTAAACTTAATATTTCATGTGGTAAAACTTTTTTTTTCATACTTTTGGGTGTCTTGCACGGATTAATTTGATTTCCATTATTTCTTATGGGGAAAATTAATTCGCCTTACGATAGTTTCGGCATAAGATGAGCTCTCAGGAACGGATTAATATCGTATGCCAGGGGTCCACTGTATAATATTCACACCACACATTGTCCTTAGGCACAACATCAAGCTTGCCTCCAGCCTCCTCCTTGCCATTGCCTTTAAAACCCATGCTTCACACCCATATAAGAGTGTTAATACCAGTATACTCTGGTACATTTCCTTTATGCCTCCATTGATAAGGTTTTGTATCTTCTATGGTTCACTTCATCTTACAAAGACCTGTCCACTGACAAGGCCACTCCCAGATATCTAAACATCCAATATCCAATCTTTCATTACCCAGTTTTTTTATACTCTCATCACCTTGCTCTTTCCTATTTTTATTTTTAATTTCCTTTTTTAACATACCCTCCCAAATTAGTCCACCAACCTTTGCAACTTATCTTCAGAATTTCCCAGAAGCACAATGTCATTAGTGATAACTGCCACTCTGTACCAGACTCAACATCTTTCAATCCCACACCTCTCCCCAATACCTAGCCTTCACTTCTTTTACAGCCCCTTCTATAAAAATATATAAAAACATGGTGACATTTGCACATCCCTGTTTAAAGCCTATTTTTATGGGAAAGTGATCTCTCTCTCCTACATACCCTAACCTGAGCCTCACTTTCCACATAAAAACTCTTTAGTGCTTTAAAACTCTCTATTGGGAGGGCTACCATTTATGGTCTCCTATCTGAAAGGGTTTCAGAGCTCAAACTGGACACAGGAAACTGTTGTAATCACTTCTAACCAATGAGGAAAACTCACTGTCATCCTCAAGCAACCAATCAGATAGCCCTAACTCCTTCCTAAGGGAAGTGGGATGAGATATGTAATGTAATGGTGTAGTTCCTGACTCAGAAGCATATATCCTCA